GTATCTGGCAAAAATGATCAGATATGAGTAGCAACGGAAGAACATCTTAACCTCAAGCCGAATTCACATTGAACACAAATCACGCGGAGATACTTTGAAATAGCAATAATTTAATCCATAAAATCCAAGTGCAGATTTCGGACAACCCAGAAATGGGCATTTTGTGAATGAACAGAATTGGCAAGATGTGGTATGCATTAGAACAAGGAACATTTACTGCAATGTAACAAGACTACAAAGAGTACTTCTTTTATTTCTTGGTAGCAACTGCGCGCCCTCTGCTGTTCATGACCTGAAAAGTGCAGTCAATTAATAGGCTGGCTTCCGTAACTCCATTTTAAAAACAGAATCGATGATGATGCGACTGGGAACCAGGCAATCTGCCATTGTTTTTGTTTAAACGAAAGAGGTCGCTGTGATGACAGAGCCGTAACTGTGACGACATATTGGGGTGGGTGTGGCTTACAAAAAGAGGTCAACCTAAACATATCATTTTATTAACGATCTTTCGTTTTTCATCATTAAATGAGTAAAGGTACTAAACTGCAATTATAATGAACAGGATTTTTCTAGTTTGTGCTTGGAAAATGGAATCGGTACAGCGCCCTCTTTCGCTTATTTTATTACCTATAGTTTTATCTCAAGCGTTGGTTTGTGATAATTCTACACATTTCCAAGAAGAGTATAAATACAAATGTACAATACTTTTTGTTTTTGTTAACTTTGAAGAAAATTATGGCACTACTTAATTCACCGAAGCAGACAGCGCTGTGTGCATTACACAGTCGTCCGTACTTTCTGTACAAAATGAAAAACATGTGCTTGTACCCAGAAGCCACCAGGCGACATCTCATTAATATCCGGGATAAAATTTGATCCGCAAAAGGCCCGTTGCATCGGGGATTCTCAACAACATTCTTAAGAAATCTTCTGGGAAGTTTTACGTTATCGGAAGTGCAAGCTATTTTACAAAAAAAAAATCCTACAACTTAGTCCTGATGCAACGGACCTTTTGCGGAAGAACTTGCTCCGACTCAGACACGTTTGTTCATGGTATAAATCGAGAACTTTCTATCGTTCCTCTTCCCTTTTCCTTAGTTTATACCTTTATTTGTAACAGCTCTCATTTGTTTTGCACACGTTTTCCAACAGGGGAGTCCTCGATTTGGTTTCTGTCCTCGATTCATCGATGATGTTGCACGTGTGTGTCCTCGATTTACGCCATAAACAAACGCATCCCAGATAGTTAATGAGATGATTGCTAACAATATTAAGCTATTTTCTTATAAACTTTAATGTGACAACCTTCTGAGCAAGATCTCGGCTCATTTCCATGGGAGTAATAAGCAGATGGACATATTAGCAAAATTACAGACACAGCAACCAATGCCGGGAACCAGTTGCGCTCAATATGCAATAGTTTAGCTGGTAGCCCGCCTTTGCTAAGCAAGCATGTATGCGCTAAGTAAGTTTGTGCGCTTAAAGATGATACCCCGTGCTCTTAAAAAAAAAAAAAATTGTCTCCTAACAAATTTTCAATTTGTTTGTGTTGTTCTAGCGAAAAGAAACTGATTTCGGGCGTCTGCAACACTCTGAAAAAATGCCTTTCTTTTTGAAATCACCCTGCGAGAGCTGAATGATTGTCTGGCAGCCAATAATTGAATTTTTGTGTAAGAAACAATTCAATAACGAAACGTCAGTGAATTTTTGTTGGTTTGATGTCTCATTCAAAAGTGAGTAACCGTTATATTTCAAAGAAAATAACAATACATGTTTATTTTATTTTTTGCAAACTCGAAAGTAGCACGGGGAACACATCTTTAATAGCTCCATGACATTGCCACAGTAGTTTTTCGGATACGGATTGTGGGTACAAGCAAAAAGAAACTGTTGGTCAAATAATCGATTCTAGCTAGTATCACTACAATAGTACAAAAACATTGAAGTTACAAAAATACACTCAATTACATTAAATACATGTACATGAGACAAATACTGAATAGTATTAGTTTTACACATAATTTGGATAAAATCTAAACATTCCTATTTGAGGGTCAACAATTTTATCGACTCCCTTTATAGAAAAGCCACATGTCTATTATTCAGTGGCCATATTTTTTTTACCATTGTTACGAATTGTGGACGACAAATTTCAGCCAAATTTCTCATTGCCAGGCATTGGAAAGAATGTTGCATCCTGACGCCGCATTTTTCTTCATATATCATCTCAATGAAGGTCAGTCATTGCAAAAATGTTGATGACATGAATCTGGGATTCAGAAACATTTCCAATTTTGATTGAAAATACTTTGAAAATGAACTCGACTCTCCATAGACTGTGTGCACAACCAAAGAAGTGGCGTCTGGATACTACATTCTTTCGCAGGCGTTTTCATGTTAACCATTAAATATAACGACAAAAATTGGCTTGGACATTGAAATTAAAGAAAACCTGGCCTGTTCTTTTTTTTAGATATGAAAAACAAAGTCACATTTATATCCCCTAACTACAATCAAACTTACTGAGTAGGGGTCATTCTATACATTTTGGGTCTTAAGTGTGACATTTTTTTCCTGTCACTTGTGACATTTTCTCCTGTCCCCGTTAATGCCTTGGTACTTTGTAATGTGCCATATCACTGATGAGACTGACTTCAAGCATTTTTTTTTATTTGTTGGGTAGGTAGTTTGCTATTCATAATCACTCTTGTAGGCCATCAGCCTGGGGGTTTGGTCAGTATCAAATCAGGGCATAAATGGTTATCGTGCGCATGCGTAAGGTATACCGCCCCTAGAGTGGAAACAAGCATTTTGATGGACATTTTGAAGGAAAAAAAAGGCTGATAACACCCAAAAAGCTGCCACCGCTGCAATGCTATAACATATTTTCCAACTCTGGAGGTGTATACCTTGCCAAAAATCGCTATGACGATTATTCCCCTCATTTGATACCGGTGGCCAACATTTTGGACCGAGGCTGATGGCCTATTGGGTGACCACTGCATTAAGGAGTACATGTATATCAGAATTCTAATATCATAGATGTCAGATGTAACAGGGACAGAGAAAAAAGCGGCCCCAAATTGATAGAATGAGCAACTTATGGCTAGTGATTGGGCAGGCCGAAAATACATTTTAGATAACTTATCTGGTCCGTTTTATGAAACATATTTTTTTTGTTTTCTGAATTGAAAGACTTAGTTATACATGCATTCTGTATACATACGCAACTACATGTTTTAGTACTTTACTTAATAATAAAAAAAAATTACTGATGAATTTTGACAATATTACCCACATTTCAGCGGCACAAGTTGTGTACATTGATTCAAGTACTGCTTGCAGTGAGCACTGATATAGAAATTGATGCTGGAATTCTAGATGCATTGAAAGCGCATAGGGGTGGGGCCAATTTATGGAAAATAGGGGGGGGGGGTTTAAAAGGTGGGTTTAAGTCCAAAAATTGCAAAAGAGCGCTACTTATCTGTTTGCTGGTAACGAAATTAACACTTACACAAGTTACTATGGACTTCTCCCGGATTCAACATGGCTGCCATCTCCATGGCAACTGGACAATCAAAACCTCTCATAAACTGAGATGCTATCATTTCCGAACTTGAAATGCAGGTCTAACATTATTCTTTTGAAAATAGTTACATCTTGATGAGTACATCATATTCTACAACAGTTTCCAAAGAGCACTTGTTTTTAAAAAATATACTACCGCTACAGACATTTTTTGTTTAGTACCACAAATTTCTAGTAAAAATCTATTACAGCTAAAAAGAGTACATGTACATGGTTCATTTACAAGATGATAAAACTGGACAATAAATTTAAATAGAAAATTGCGACAAATTTAGCAAAATTGGGCTGCTTTTTACAGTGAGATTATGGAGAAACAGGGATGATATTGTCACTTTAAAAAAAAAAAAGTCTAAAAATTTGACGAAATTTCTGCAAGATGCATTTCTTCCAATAATGATAATGTCCTTCAGATAAAACAATTCTGATTTCAGGCTTAAATCTGAAAAAAGAAAACTGTGAAATTAAACATTCTGTATGTGTGTGAGCAGAGAAGTCAGGGGACCAGACATTCAAATCTAACTAGAGATTGATACAATAGGCCCCGCCCACTGCACACATAGACAGCAACACCAGCACACATGAGCAAAAACAGGTGTGCCTCCCCAATGCCACACTGCATGTTCCAACAGCGCGTGTTTTACATAACACTCGAGGACATGGCATTGTCTTTCCCTTTGTCCCTATAATGCAACACTATCCCATAGACTAAGCACACAGACTCACAATCAAGGACCGTTTGTAACAAAAGAATCTGTTGTTCTTCCTTTGTCTGTTTGTCCTTGAGGTGTATGGAATTCACACACACACGTACTGGTATTTTGTTGTACCGGTATATTCATTTGCCCAAACACGGTGCAAGTGGACAAAGAAATATCATGAACTGGCATAAAGGAATTAGTCTTACAAAAACTGCTTGTTGAACATTGTTGCCATGAAAACTATATTCTCTCCCTAACGTACATTCCTATCTTCAATTCATAATCTCACTGTAAAATTCATTCATTCAGTTCAGAATTTTTTATCATAAAAAAAGCAATGCAGATGTTTGCAACCCAACCCTCAAGCGTAATGAATGGCAAACGTTTAACAAACTTTAGTAATATATATAAAAAAGTTAAGTTCATTGAGTTGGGTTTGTCTTAAATGTATACCCCTAAAATGAAATGTTGATAATTCATATTCACATATTAAAAACAAATCATTTTAGGTATTTGTGACATTCGTATTTTATGTCTTAGTATTTTTTGTTTGTTTCCATTTTTCAAAAGAAAAGTTCTGTTTTCAAAACTTGGAAATAACTCATGAGAATTTCTAGTTGGCATATATTTGACCAAATTTAAAAAGAAAAGTAATTTTTTTTTTCTTCAGAAATTGATGTCCATTTAGTGGATGATTTAAAAAAAAAATATAAAAAAAGGTTGTGCTTTTGTTGCATTTTATCAAACAGTAAAACCAACTATTTTCTGTACTTCCTGGTATTTGAATGGCAATAAGTGTACCCTCTGTCACACGAACAGCCACTTTCATAGTCCCTGGTATTTGAATTGCAATAGGAAGTGTTATCCCTAGCATGAGAACAGCCAATTTTGAACCCCTGGTATTTGAATGGCATTTATGAAGTTTTCCTCTGGCACGAGAACAGCTAATTTCAGATTCCCTGGTATTTGAATGGCAATATGAAGTGTACCCTCTGGCACGAGAACACCATTTTTTATGCCCCTAGTATTTGAATGGCATTATTAAGTTTATCCCCTGGCATAAGAACAGCCACTTTCATACTCCCCGGTCTAATTGAATGGCAATATAAAGTGTACCCCCTGGCATGAGAACAGCTACTGGATGTTATCTAGATGGGGTAAGATTTCTCCCTGTCTGCCCTTCTGATGGCACAGCACAGACACAATGAGAACAGCATCCCAAGAAGCTATAGGTGGGAAAATACAAACGAAAAAAACAACATATTATTGATTTCTCCAATTTAAAGGGATTGTACATCATTGGCTTTTACTGTAATATGCAGAAATGAACTATTTGAGGGGTTCGTCAGGGTTCCCTGACTCCACTAAAGATAAAATGGATCAATTTATAGATGCTGGAAAATTGTAAGGTAAGGGAACCAGTCTAGCTGGCCTGCACCCGTTCATGAACATGTAACCAATAGCAAACAAAATTTGGACTGGAAAAAAAATGGTAAATTACGAGCAGTAGTTGAAAAATTATTGGGTTTTTCCAACAATGGTCGGCCGACCACCGTTTGGAATGTATACAAAAATACCACTTTTCTTGAAAATGACTTCACACCAGGTGCCATAATTTTACAGGATGCTTTAGACTGTCATTTACCAACATCCTTGTAAGGTTTTTCGTAAAAATTTGGTAGTTTTGTTTTTCAATGTTTGCAAATGTTGTATATTCCCTTTAAAGATACAGTCAATCATTTGCAGCTATCCAAAAAGTAACTGACGTCATTATTGATGAAAAATATACTTGGTTGAAAGATAGTAATTGGACTAAACTTCCTGTGAAGTTATTCTTTCTGGCGAGCTGTCATCTTGAAGAAATCAATGAAAAAAGGCCATTTCCAACGACAACGATGCGTCTTTAAGACGATGCGTCTTTAAGACGCATCGTTGGAAATTTCTGTTTGTAGTTTGTTTTTAATTCGGCGAAGCGCCCAAGCGTTGACACGACGCACAAGTGCACGCTGTTGCTATAATTCTAAGTTCAGTGCGCAACATCGCGTAACTGCAATCGGCTCAATGAGAACACATCTCGGACGCTGAATTCAGGCCCAATTCAAAACATGACAAAGAAACTTATAGTTTGAAATCGAGTTCCTAGAATATTGTTTTCTTGGAATATACAGCATTCACCGAGCTGAAACTTCATCAGGTTAGTTGTTCAGCACTCTTTTTTTAGATTTTAATCACTTTTGTTGCTTCAAAGGAACAAAATGCACAAATTAAAATGATGGACGCTACCTTTAAAGGCAAATAGGATCATTTGCTTTTCATGCATTTTGTTCGTTCCCAATATCCAAAGAGGAATATTCAAAACCTAACCTGTTGAAGTTTCAGCTGAGTGAATAACAAAATATTACATTTTTTTTTTAGGAAACACTGAAAAAAAACCCATGCACAACCTCTTGATTAGGAAACATGATTTCGTCAACATCACTCTGTATTCCAAAAATCAGTCAGTTGATTGATCCACTGCAAACCCCAATGCTGAATTTACATCGCCCTGACGCAAATTCCATCTGAATAGTTTGATTGCGGTACCCACTGCTATATCAGATTCGAACTAGCCAGCAGACCCCGGAAAGCTCGGTGGTCAAGTGGTAAGACGTCTGCACTAGAAAGCAGGCGGTCTTGGGTTCGAGTTCCACCAGCGATATTTTTCCTCACAATCACTCAGGGGCAACACTGAGTACACAGTGTTTATAAAATATGTCGGTGAAGGGAAAAACTGAGTATTGAATATAAATCACACCGACGTAAATTCCATTTTATGAATAATTGACTGATCACTGGAAACCACCATTTTTCGGTTTCTTCAAAATGACAGCAAACCAAACAAAATAATTTCATGAAAAAAAGTAAGACTGCTGCAAACTGCTTACTGACTGGATGGACCTGAAATATATAAATCTAAAAATTAATGTGGCCTGACGTTGCGAACTTAGCAAGTTTTTCTTCAGAGGCTAAAACAGAAATGCTGTTTTAGCCTCTGAAGAAGAACTTGCTAAGTTCGCAACGTCAGGCCACATTAATTTTTAGATTAAAATAATTTCATGTGGAGATTAAAGTACCAGTAAGGTCTTTGATCCAAGTAAACCTTTTGACACAACGCACACGCGTGCGCGGTTGCTATAATTCGTCGGTTCAGTGCATGACATCGCATAGCTGCAAGCGGCTGAATGAGAACGTGTTCCAGACGCTAATTTTGGGCACAATTCAAAACATGACTAGGCAACTTTGAATTGAAATCGAGATCTTCGAATACGGTTTTCTTGGAATGTACAGCATTCAGAGAGCTACCATTATGAAACTTCATCAGGTAAGTTGTTAAGCACCCGTCTTTAGATTTTGAGCACTTTTGTTGCTTCAAATGACAAAACGCACAAATGATCTACTTTTCCTTAAAAAAAAGTTTAATTATTTTCTAGAGAAGAGCAAGTCCATATTCTATTCAGTGATTTTTTTTTTACCTGTACGGCACCAATGCCAATGGCAAGTCCAGCAACTAGAACTGCATTGTCTTCCAACATGTTGAAAAGAGCAGTCGCACACCCCTGTCAGGGAAAATCAAAACATAATTGGAGCGTCAGCCAAACTAGTAAAGCAGAAAATGTAGGGGGCGCTGTTTAAAGCCATGAGAGGAAACACACATGTGGATGCAAATGTCACATGTGGATCCGTGGTTTGATTACCAGCATGAGAGAATAAGACAACAAAAACAAATGACTTACATCTTGGTTGATTGTGAGGAGGGAGGTTATCGCCTGGAACGCTATGCCCTGTGCACAACCCTCAGCTTCTTCTTTGCAGCAAGAGTCTGGGACCGTCCCGTAGGCAGATTGTTGCCAGTCACTGGGCCCGGTGGCTCCGCAACACTTCAGCTGCCATGCACACAAAAAATGTCAGAAAATAGCATCAAATTTGTGGTTAGTTGGAAGTGAATGCACAGAAACCACCAGTCAATAGTAAGAGGATCATAAGTCAATTACTAGTGAAATCACAAGTCAATTGCAGTTCAATCACAAGGTCATCACAAGTCAATCACAATTCATCATAATGTAACCTCAAATCAATCGCAAAGTATTCACGAGTCAATCAAAAATCATCCACAAGCCAATCACTATAGTCAATCACAAGTCAATTACAATCAATCACAAGTCAATTACAATCAATCACAAGTCAATCACAAGTCCACCACTAGTAAATCACTAGTCAATCACAGGCAATCATAATGTAATCATAAGTCATTCACAAGTCAATCACAAGTCAATCACAAGTCAATCACATGTCAACCACTAGTCAATCACAAGTCAATCACAAGTCGTCATTCACAAGTCAATCACAAGTCAATCACAAGTCAATCACAAGTCAATCACATGTCAACCACTAGTCAATCACAAGTCAATCACAAGTCGTCATTCACAAGTCAATCACAAGTCAATCACAAGTCAATCACAAGTCAACCACAAGTCAATCACAAGTCATTCACAAGTCAATCACAAGTCAATCACAAGTCAATCACATGTCAACCACTAGTCAATCACAAGTCAATCACAAGTCAATCGCAAGTCAACCACAAGTCAATCACAAGTCAATCACAAGTCAATCACAAGTCAATCACAAGTCAATCACAAGTCATTCACAAGTCAATCACAAGTCAATCACAAGTCAACCACTAGTCCATCACAAGTCAATCACATGTCAACCACAAGTCAATCACATGTCAATCACAAGTCAATCACAAGTCAACCACTAGTCAACCACAAGTCAATCACAAGTCAATCACAAGTCAATCACAAGTCAATCACAAGTCATTCACTAGTCAATCACAAGTCAATCACAAGTCAATCACATGTCAACCACTAGTCAATCACAAGTCAATCACATGTCAATCACATGTCAATCACTAGTCAATCACAAGTCAATCACAAGTCAATCACAAGTCAATCACAAGTCAACCACAAGTCAATCACAAGTCAATCACATGTCAACCACTAGTCAATCACAAGTCAATCGCAAGTCAACCACAAGTCAATCACAAGTCAGGTCAATCACAAGTCAATCAAAAGCATCTATAGAGCTATTTTAAATTACTTGAGCGCTGACTCATGTACAAAGTGATGCCTGCTGGGCGCATCCGTGTTTGTGCACAAACCTTTGGAAAACTGGAAATTGTGTTCGTTTTTTTTGTACAGCTATTTGCATATCTGCATTTGTATTCAATACAGTTATCGAAGCCGATACGCCCAAAACCGAAACGCACAACCAGCAAATGAGCGTTTCATTTTGCTCTAAGCAAACAGCACAACGTGTGCCGTGAGGTTTTTTAACCGTCATGACGCGCTTAAGTAGTTTGCGTATGTTCTATTTGCGCGTTGCATTTAGAGTACACTTTTAAACTTCAATCCATCTAATTTGCTTGTGTTCTACAAACACGCACATGAATCCAAAATGTCTGCGCCCAGAGCGGCTTCAAAGCGTCTCCGCGCGCAAGAATAAGGAGTTAGAACTCTAGTAATTTAATATAGCTCCATGATCAAAAGTCATCTACAAGTCAACCACAAGTAAATCGCAAATCAGTCACATATAAAAATAATAATAATAATAATAATAACAGGTTCTTATATAGCGCTTTTTTAACTAAGATCAAAGCGCTTTACATTATTACCCCTAATCATTAGGCCAATTTAACATTCCATATACCATCTCAGCTCCCTTGGGAGTATACAGCTCGATGCTGCCTGTTAGGCGCAAGCAAGCTAATTCAATCACAATAACCATCTCTGCCCTCACAGGTACCCATTTACTCCTGGGTGGAGAGAAGCAATGAGTGACAAAGTGCCTTGCTCAAGGGCACACGCACCATGACCCCGCCAGGACTCGAACCCATGACCTGCAGCTTTACCCACAGACCACGAATCAGTGCCCTTAACCACGAGGCCACAGCGCTCCACAATCATAAAAAAAAAATTCACAATTTGATCATTCGTCAGTCACAAGTCAACTGCACATCAGTCACAAGTGTTTGACAAGTATTTCAGAAGTCAAACAGCAGTCACCTCACTCGTCAATCACAAGTCAAATAGCAGTCAATCACAAGCCAACCACAAGACATCCAGTCTCAGCTCCAGTGACAAGCTACTTGAAAGCTGACTACCTGACTACCTTGATCATTCAAAGTGCCAAGGGACTTAGTGTTAATAAAAACTCTTGAACAAATGCTTAGGAAAAACAAATACCTGTCGCTGCATATTGTCAACTGCTGTCATGATGACTGAGTTGTCCTCGGCATAAGCCTGTTGAACTGTACTAAGCATGCCTGTACACAGAGGTAATAGAAAGAAAACAAATCACCACGGCAAATTATGGTTTGAAACGACCCAATTAATAAGCATCATTCTGCAAAGCTTTTGTTTTTACTTAGATGATCCATGAAGAATGTACCGGTACATAAGGCCAAAAAAAAGTCTCCGGTTTCTGATATGCGTAGCCATGCGCGTCGGCAAAATGAAAAAGTTTTTTTTTTCAATGATGATGTCTCAAAACCGCCAAACTCACTGGTTTGACTGGAATCCTGCTGCTGCACAATTTCAACGTGTTTTTAGATGGGGTTATGAACGAGAATAAGCTTTATGTCTGTATGTGGCCTCTCTGGACTCCCATATATTTGCACTGAGTTTAGTCGGGCATCATTTGCAGTCATCAGCCGACATTTGAAGCAAAAAAGTCAGAAAAAAAAAAAAAAAAGCCGCGTCGCCGCACCACTTTTTGGTCAAGCTCCATACCAGATACCGGAGACTTTTTTTTTTGGCCTAAGACTGAAATCAAGGAGAAATTCTTTTTACATGAAAATGGTATTTTCATATACAGCCATAATGTACATGATCAGACATACAGGTTTATGCTTGGATTGTTACTATATGAAGAGTGCAGTTCTTCCCACTTCTGCCACCAAATGCCGTAGAAAGACTTCCGATATTGAAATGTACAAGCTCTGCTACATTGTACATGTACGTACATGAAGGTATTAAAAAGACCTCTTTACACACGCAACACTTAAACAGAGTATCTAAATCAACCATGTTTATGACTTCTTCCACATAAAAAGAAAAACATGCTTGTGTACTGCAAATCAAATTTGAATCCCACTTCTGACACCGAATATATTCACGAGTAAGTCTACGTACAACCTGTACCACAATCCTGAATAGACGACAACGTTCTCATCAGTACAAAAAAAAAAAAATCACCTTTTTTCAGCATAACATTGAAGTTCTTCCTTTTGAAACAACACCAAAATTCTGAACAATTGCAGCAAACAGGAAAAAAATACTAGCAGTGTCACACAAGAAGGTCAATGGTTTGAAACAGTAAGAAGTGACTGCTTTGTTACAGTTGTTCAGAATGACTCCAGAGTCTAGTTGATGGAAAATTAAGTTCTCCTGTCCAAAACCAACATCTATTTGGGATGAACGAGTTACATGTACTCCTAAAACTATACTAATACAACTCTGGCAGGCCAGTATGAAACAAGTGTCCATTGTTGATCCCACTTCTGACACCGATTCACATGGCCATCCTACATGAGCCATATTTTCATCACCATGCCAAAAATGTTGGATGTGTACCTTCTTCAACGATGCTTTTGAGTTTTTCCCTGTTGAGATAGCACCAGATACCACCGCCGACCTCAGCCACGCAGATCAGCAGCAAGAAAGTGAAGAACTGAATAACGACAAATGAATCAAACATAATTATAACATGAGGCTCAGCAATATTTGAACACCATGTGCACGACAGATCAAGACAAGCAATTAAGAGGCAACCAGAATTAAACCATTACCAGCGGCCTTTGATAGAGTGTTGGATGACGGCAATGGGAAGGCTAACGAGCGCCCTGCAGTTCATGAACACAGCCAATAGCCACTTACTTGTAACAAACAAAACCTATATCTACCTCTACGCCGAGACAAGCAGCTTGGAAGCAGCTGGAGAACAGCCGCATCCTAGGCCAAGTTTGGGCAAGGACCGTTAGTCGACTAGTGGTTGATTTGTGACGTACCTTACGCCTGCGCACTGATAGCAACGTGCGAACGTCTCTAGTCCAACGCTGGTCAAAATGTCAACGCCAAACTTCTGGATCCTGGCTCTCTGCTAGCGTTATGAATGCGCGCGGCTATTGGTTACCAGCGAAGCAATAAACCCCAGTAGGCTGGTTCCAAATAGTCGACTAGCGTAGTCAACCACCGTCGACTAGACAGAGTTCGGGCAAACGTTAGTTAACCATTGGTCAACTATAGTCCTTGCGCGAACTTGGCCCCACTTGGATAGAGTGCTGGCTATGAGCCACAGGTAGGCTAAATAGCACCCTCTATAGTTCATGCAAAGAGCTATTAGCCACTGTTTTAAGACCTACCATTCCGAGGAGTACAGTGTTCTCCATACAGGCTCCGCAGCATCCCAAGAAGCCCACCAGCATCATGAGGCCCCCGATGCCGATGAGGACGTACACGGCGATATAGTACTCCTGCAGATCACCCGAAGCTTGCGCATACTGCTGGACGTTGGGCTCAAAGCACAGCCACAGACCGACGCCTAGAAGGGCACAACCGCACAGCTGTAATGGAGAAAACAATGACATCATATTTTATAGAGTTATGACATAATTTTCTATTTATAATAGATGTTGCTTCTATATCAAGACCTACAATTCAAGCAAGTCAATCTTTTCAAAAATACTTCATTTTCCCCCTGAGAAGTGAGAATCTTCCTGAATCCTAAAAAAAATCCTCCATTGTACAGCAAACCAGTGGCACTTTCTTATTACTTCACCCCAACGGCCTACTTAGGTTTACTAAGTAGAAGACCAATTAAGTCTGTCAAAATCCATCGCTCGCTCTGCTTCAGGGCCAAATCTGTTGAAATCCACCACTGGTGCTGGTGGATTTTGATGGACTTGGTACACATGGCTTATCTGCCAAAATCCACCCAATTGGGGAGACAGGTTTTAATGGACTTGCTAAGGTTAGGGTAAAAGAAGCTGGTCTCAAATTTCCTTAATTAATCCAGCAAACTCCTCCGTCCAGACTCCTCCAGAAGATTCAGGGAGGCCGGGCGTATTTGTAGGAATGACCAGAGATAGAGAGTAAATAACTCTCTGTGAAAACCGCAGGCTGCCCTCAATCCCATATGTAAACAATATATCTCCTTATAAATAGTCTGTTTATAGGATCTCACACAGGTGCAGTTCCCATACAGTAGATTGTTTTGCATTCCACAAGTTCCTGTATTGATAAATTAACAGTGTCTGCAATTTCTAGGGGCACAGAGGTGAATCACTACCAGTATACCTCTGTTGTAGACATCAGCTATAGTCTTACCCATATTGTGCATCAGTTCATTTTTTTTGGAAGGGGAGGGGCTAAATGTAGTTGTATTAAAGGGAATATACAACATTTGCAAACATCGAAAAACAAAACTACAATTTTTTTTACGAAATACCTTACTAGGATGTTGGTAAATGACAGTCTAAAGCATCCTGTAAAATTATGGCACCATGCGTGAAGTCATTTTCAAGAAAAGTGGTATTTTGTATAAATTTCCAACGATGGTCGGCCGACCACTGTTGGAAAAACCTAACTATTTTTCAACTACTGCTCCAAATTTACAAATTTTTTTCAGTCCAAATTTTGTTTGCTATTGGTTACATGTTCATGAACGGGTGCAGGCCAGCTAGACTGGTTCCCTTACCTTACAATTTTCCGGCATCTATAAATGATCCATTTTTATCTTTAGTGGAGTCAGGGAACCAGACTACTTGAAATTTTTGTTTTTCTTGGTTTTTCCAGCATTTTCGAACACAAAACTTCAAACATGTCAGTGTAACAATATTTGATCTGTTATACTAACCCCTCAAAATAGTTCATTTCTGAAAATTACAGCAAAAGCCAATGATGTACATTCCCTTTAAAGGGGAAAACAGGATTCCCTTAACATTTAATTTTATGATATGGAAATTAAATGCCTACATCGTCAGTGTTTCACTTTATTCCGGCCGGCATTCCACAATCGTACCACACCAAATTAATTACTTTTCAAACCAAATTACAAAGCAAAGATGTGGGCCATTCTATGAATTTTGGGTCCTAAGTGGGACATTTGTACTGTGAAATCTGCCATCAATAATGAATCTATCAAGTGTTTTTTTTATTTGATGGAGGACGACTGCATTAAGGAGTGGATAAAAATCACATGTAAGGCCAAAAAATAAATATCCGGTTTCTGGTATGGAGCTTGTCCAAAGAGTGGTGCGGCGACGCGGCTTTTTTTTTTTTAACCTGACTTTTTTGCTTCAAATGTCGACTGATGACTGCAAATGGTGCCCGACTAAACTTAGTGCAAATATATGGGAGTCCAGAGAGGCCACATAAAGCTTATTCTCGATCATAACCCCGGCCATCTAAAAACACGTAAAATTGTGCAGCAGCAGGATTCCAGTCAAACCAGTGAGTTTGGCGGTTTTGAGACATCATCTTTTATTGAAAAAAAAACTTTTTCATTTTGCCGACGCGCACGGCTACGGTGACGCGCGTGCATACCAGAAACCGGAGACTTTTTTTTTGGCCTAAAGTGGACCCCAAATTAATAGAATGACCCATTTAACAACATGAAAATTGCAACATTAGGAACGGTAAAGAGCAATTACGTGGAGAGATTGACTGTAGCAGTCCAGCGGCTAGGCAACTCCAGAGGCTAGTCAATGGAAATTAGTTCACCTGTCTGTACCGGAATCTATCTGGGTCAACCTCAGGCACTCCCAGTAGATTTGGTTCGGCGAGGCTCTAGAATGCCTCTCTGAAACAGGTTTGAGACAACTAAAGGCACACAGGGACATTGGCCAAAAAAAAATACTGTTCCGAAGAAAACTATAATTGAAGGTGGTCAAAAAAGTATGCCTGCTGGCACACATTTTTACGTGCTTCAGCAACAGATCCAAAACATGTGAAAACCATTTTGCTGCTGAGCTAAAACTTCCACATCTATGTTTAATTGTTGTTTGTACTCTACTTAATTTTATTTCATTTTTGTGTGTGTTCTACACTCAATTAAGAATTATACTCATAATGAATATATACAAATGTACGTATACTTTTTAAAATAGTCAAAACTTTGTTACATGCAGAAGGTGTGAATTTGGACTTCAGTCAAAAGGATGTCATGCCTAGATTAGAAGGCACCACAGGAACCACCATAATGCCAACAGAGGTCCACGCGGCCCATTCAAAACACTGGCCCATGCACTGACCAAAAGTCTCAATGCTGGACCAGGATCCAACACCGAGATTTCAAGAACCCCTTTCACAGAGTTCACAACTCATAGGGTTGAGGCCAAGGCTTGCACAACCAAAATATTCAAAGTTGACCTCATGGTTTTGTAGTTATTATATTACAAAAATAGTCAGACGGACACTTTTTGGGGGGACATTTCTATAAGCCACATGGGTAAAACCATGAAGGAAGGAAGGAACACATGGAGGAAGGAAGGACACAGCCCTGGTCGGTACCACTGTTGGCGGCAGAAGGGGGGGGGGGGTTGTAGCTGATACTCTTTGAAAATGGCGACCCTATTGATGAATTTGCCCCCCTCCCCCAAAAGTGTCCGGCCACCGCTGGTTGGGATGAAAATCCAAAGTCAGCAGCCGATCCATATGTAGGTACACACACCGCTTAAACGTGAATGGTACACCTTAGCTATGGAATCCAGCTCCCAATACCAAACTTGTCATCACTGGCCAACTGGCATTCCAGACACTGATTACAAACACATGTAAGGTGTATTTTCCGAGCCGGTCCCTGATGAGCCTCCAATCAACCAATCAGGAGCCGGTGACATCCCTGGTATCAAATGACCCCTGCCAACCTTGGCTTGCCTGGACCCAACCCCACCAAGGAGACACATTGATGACGCTCAAGGGCAACAACAAGACTTGTGCAAGTCTGTCAATGAACTCTTTTTCATACTGGCGATTTTAATAATTCCTGTCACTGACAAACAGGGTCCCAATTCCCGAAGGTCCCCAATTCACGATCATGTACAAAACTTATGGAAGGTCTTCCTAAAAAGTTAGAGAACAAACAAAAGAGGGACTATATACCGGTAGGGGATCCCTGATTGCAGGCAAATACACACTTGTGCTCGTTATAATACATGATCTGAACCTATGTTGTGACAGTCCCTTTAAAGTACAAAAACCAAGGTGTCCCTTTAAAGCACAGCTATTAATAAATTCAGCACAGGAGCCTTGACTGGTACTAATGTACATGGAAACCTCAGGAAATCCTGCAAGGAATAAAAACCCGAAATTCTAGAATGCTGTTGGCTGAACTTTACAAGCCACATTTCATTTTCAAAGAGAAAACGTTTTTGTGAATGTTAAAGGGAATATACATCATTTGCTTTTGCTGTAATTTTCAGAAATGGATGGAATTGGGGGGTTGGAAATATATTGCAAATATAGTTACACTGACCATTTTAAGGTTTTGGGTTAAAAAATGCTATAAAAACCAAGAAAAACAATCATTTTCCTGTAGTCTGGTTCCCAGACTCCATTTAAGAACAGAGCAGTTTACATACATTGGGGAATTGTAAGGTCAGGGAACCAGTCTAGCTGGCTTGTACCCGTTCATAGGTGTGTAATCGATTGCGAACAAGTGCGATGGTCAATTGGGGCCAGTGTTTGAAAAAAAGCCAGTTTTTTCCAACGCTGGTCGGCCGACCAGCGTTGGAAATTGATACAAAAATACCACTTTTCTTGAAAATGACAGTATACCAGGTGCCATGATTTTACAGGATGCTTTACACTGTCATTCACTAACAGTCCAGCAAGGTATTTCAAAATGATTTGGTAGTTTTATTTTTTGATGTTTGCAAATGTTGTATTTTCCCTTTAACAAAACGATACATGTATTTGAATCCCTTGGACACCATACCGGTACTTAAAAGCACTTATGTTTTTCCTTACAGATTTATTTGAAACTACAAAGAAGACAGCTTAGCGCATTCTTTTTTCCATAATTTTATTGGGTTTTTTTCCTAAGAGGAAAAACTGCCTTAAGTTTAATGATGATAAACTAATTAAAGCTACACATGTAGCGTACATGTACCTGTACATGGGCAATGACCGTTTGCAAAATATCAACACATTTTCCAAACAGAAATACATACGGGGAATTCCAGTGTTTAACGCAGAAGAAAATGTAATGTCCGTGACAGAGCCAATTAATTATGATATCTAATTAATGATTCAGAGAAATGATCCAAAACTCGAACTCCTAGTCCTAAAATAATAAGAAGAATAATAATAAAACAGCATTTATATTATCATATTATAGCGCAATATGAATCAAAGATTCCTCAAAGCGCTTAACAATAGAACAACAAACAGTAAAATAAAAATAATCCCAATTTAAAAACCCAACTTGGTTACAAACTTCGACCAGCTGTTGTCTGAATGATTAATCGTAACATAAACCCTGTATTAATACTGTGAACTGTTAAATACCGCTGCAGTACCGCACATAGATAAAATACCATTAAAATACTGTAAAAACTTTATT